AAACAGCTATTGGCTGTTTCTAAAGGGGAGGAACTACTCGATGCCCCGCCCTTTCTTCATGTTTCGGTTGAGTTGAATAAAGAAGATCAACCCAGGCTCATTGTGGAAACGTAGTCCCGCGGACGTTTCTGGAGACCGGAGGCCGCTGTCCGACTGACCGGATGAATGACTGCGCGACCAGCCAATCGGCCGACTCGCCCTCCTCCTACCCTGAACCCAACCAATTTTACCGATCGACCCTAAACCCTAAATCGCTTCGCTAAACCCGAGCAACAGTTCACAAAAGCCGTCCAAAAAAACAAAAGCCCTGATTTTTTTTCTACCGCATTTTCAGATTTCGCCGCGTTCTCACCCTGTCACGAAACTCGTTCACTTAATTTTTGGGATTCTGTTTTTGTCTTACCTGATTGCTGGAGCTGCTCTTCCCCGGACTCGAAACCGGTCGCCGTGGTCGACTCCTCTCCGCATCTCGAGCCTGCCGACGTACACGCTGAGCTGAGTGGACAAACGGGTTGCAGCGGGGAAGCCCTCCACAAGGAGGTAAGGCAAGCGCGAAAGAGAACAGCATCACACCGCCCCACAGCGTTCACTTGAAAAAAATAAACGCGGCCGTACGTACCCCCCGGGACGTATTCCGCTGTCTCCAGAAACGTCCGCGGGAAAACTACGTTTTCAGAATGAGCTTGGGTTGAAGAAGATGCACATTTACACATACATACACATAAATATAATATACATACTCTTAACATTTCCCTAGAGAAGGAAAAAAAAAAGTCCAAAGACATGTGGTACAGGTGAATTTGGTAGGCTAAATTGTCCGTAGTGTATGAGTGTGTGTGTGTGTGTGTATGTGTGGATGTTTCCCAGAGATGGGTTGCGACTAGAAAGGCATCCGCTGTGTAAAAACTTGCTGGATAAGTTGGTGGTTCATTCCACTGTGGCGACCGCATATTAATAAAGGGACTAAGCCGACAAGAAAATGAATGAATGAATAATCAAATAAAATGACATCACATTGACAAACAAACACATGTAAGGAACGCATCTAAATTCACTGACCTTCTTTGAATACCGCTGTATGAAATTTCAGCAGTCTTTGGATTTTTTTTCATCTTTAAAGGATGAAGTTCAGGGTTAGAAACTGAAGTATGAGGTGATGTTAAAAAATCGTTGATTTCTAGCACACTAGCTTGGTATCCTTAAAGCTAACAGACTTATACTAACATCTAAAACACTTTATTTTAATTTCAGTGGAGCTTTAAGAAGCACTTAACAGAACAAACACAGTTATTTACTTGTAACTGAGTTAAATCTTGGCGATGTTTGAGTGAATGTCAGTGCTCAGCTCACCACACCATCTTTAACGGATGCTTCAGTTAACTGTGTTTCTGCTGTCCTCTAGTGAACGCTGAATGCAGTTACACACCTGAGATAAAGCTTTAACTTCTTCAGTAGCAGAGTAAATCTGCATTAATTACAGCAGTTTACTGTTAATAATATTAATTATTATAATTAATAATAACTGTTCAGACACTGCATATCATGGATAAGTTGGCGGTTCATTCCGCACGTGGCGATCCCTGATTAATAAAGGGACTAAGCAGGCCGAAAAGAAAATGGACGAATGAATGAGTGAATCGGTTTGGCCAAGTGTGTCTGTCTGAGTGTATAAGCATCGACACTGTATAAAATGTTAGTATTCATCAAACTCAGAACAGTTTTCAGTACTCAGTTCAGTAACAAAATGAACATAAGCAATACAAATATTGATTGTGCACATAATCAACTGCACGAATATACCAAATTACATTATTTGTAAAATAAAAAATAAAATAAGGACAGTTTTTTTTATGATTTGCACAAGTTTCACTTCACTCAAGTCACTTCACTATACGCACAGCTAGTGTTTTTGAGCCAATGATTTGTGCACATTTAATGTGACTGTTTTCAATTTCCTAAGTTTTTTTTACAGCGTCAATGTTGTAATGTAAGACCGTTGTAGCCTCTAGCGCAGTCAGGATCAGCAGGCAAGCGCAGAAACTCCATTGAAAATACTGGGGTAAAATTAATATTTTAAAGACATGGCAGGGGGAACTGAAATTTAATGCAGTGTTTCTTGTCCGGTCTGACACCCATGTCATATTGTATATCTATCAGGCAGTGAAGATCACTGATTTTTAAAGAAATCAGACATTAAAAATGGCGATTTTATAATGGAAAGACAGTTTACCGGAAGCACTTAGTCTGGCTGAAATTAAAAGCACGTACCCCATTCACGTTATTAACAAACTATTAACTAAGACTATCATCTCAATAAAGTACTGCTTAGCTGCATATTAGTTAGTCGATGGATTTAGGTTTTAAGTAAGATTAGGCATGTAGAATAAGATACTTTAAACCATACTAATAAACAGTTAATATTGTACATTGTATAAACTGTAATGACAAAAGTGAAGAAAACATTAATTATAATAAAACATAAATTATTTCAAGAAGTAAATCAGGATTCAACTACATTTTTTAAGATATACAACGTTTAATTTACTGTAATATTTTTGCTCAGTTGGATTTGGCTTGACTTTATTTATCAGATTTACTTTACAGTGTAATAATAGGAAAGTATTAATAGCCTGAATTGTGACTTAAAATAAAAGTGTAACCAAATATTTTATTAATTTAGTTACATTTTATTTAATAACTGTAATAATACAGTGATAAAAAATTACTGGTTTTACCCTTTGACTGCCCGCTCTACCAAACGGTTGACCATGTTATTACTGTTTTAAATAATGGTTTACACACAACATTGTTGGTTTACAAAAAATAAATCAATCAAACAAACATTCTGTTGGACTACTACCCATTCACTTTATTAACAAGCTATTAACTAAGACTATTATCTAAATAAAGTACTACTTAGCTGTGTATTAATAGTTAGTTGTTGGATTTAAGTTTTAGGTAATATTAGGGATGTAGAATAAGATCATACTTTAAACTATTCTAAATTAATAAACGGTTAATATCGTATACTGTAAACACTGTAATGACAAAAAGTGAAGAAAACATTTGTTTTTGTTGCTTTAACTTATTTTAAGAAGTAAATTAGGTTTCATCTACATTTTTTAAATTATACAAAGTTTAATTTACAGTAATATTTTTGCTCAGTTTGATTGTAAGTTGATGACCAGAAAGTTGATTTGACTCAACAAAAAATGCAAGATTTATTTGACAGTGTAATAATAGGCTAGTAAAAGTAGCCTGAATTGTGACTTAAAATAAAAGTGTTACCAAATATTTTATTTATTTATTTACATGTTATTTAATAACTGTAATAATACAGTGATAATAATAACTGGTTTTACCCTTTCACTGCCTGCTCTACCAAACGGTTGACCATGTTATTACTGTTTTAAATAATGGTTTACACACAACATTGTTGGTTTACAACACTTGTTTGTTGGACTACTTTGCTTAACTTTGGTTTTACTCATTTATTTATTCATTTTCTTGTCGGCTTAATCCCTTATTAATCCTGGGTCACCACAGCGGAATGAACCGGCAACTTATCCAGCAAGTTTTTACGCAGCGGATGCCCTTCCAGCCACAACCCATCTCTGGGAAACATTGGTTTTACTGTAAAAAAAAAAAAAAAACAAGAAAGCATGTTAAATGAGAATCTGAAATATTTTAAGGCATACTTCAAAAAAGGTGATTTAGTATTCAAAAATACTTTATTTTGAATATTTTTTTCAAATATTTTTTCTTACACTTCATATTTTCTGATTTGTCATAGTATATGTATTAAGCCCGGTACTTTTAGCCTAAACCTACATATCAACCATTTGGTAGAGGCTGATATTTTTGAAATTATGTGATGTGTTGGAAAAAAAATACATTGAGTGTGTTAACTAGCGACATTAGGAGTTTTTTCCAAGTGGGATAGTTAAAGGGTTAATAAGTAAATCAGGTTTCAACTACATTTTTTACACAGTAATTTAATAATTTTGCACAGTTTGATTGTAAGTTGATGACTAGACTCAACAAAAATATAAGATTTATTTTACAGTGTAATAATAGGCCAGTGTTAATAGCCTGAATTGTGACTTAAAATTAAGAGTTACCAAATATTTTATTTATTTATTTACATTTTATTTAATAACAGTAACAATACAGTAATATAATTGGCGTAAAGTAATACTATTTACTGGTTTTAAACTAAGTGTGATGAGTGTTATGTTAAAGAAAATGTAGAGCACTTTATTATGAAGTGTAACGAAAATAAAACAGAAAGGACAATCTTTAAAGATCAAATGTTTGATTTAGAACAAGAATGGAGATTGAAAGGATTATTGGAGCAGATGGAAAAACACCGGATGGATTTTATTTACCACACAATGTACATGAACTCATTCATCAATGTAAATTTACTAAAAAGAAACAAAAAATTGGTGTATGGTATTAAGGTATTGGTGACCAAAATATGCTTATATAGACAATTTTGAGGGATGTAAACAATGAGAATGGTCCTAACATATTTCCTGTTGTACATTTTTAATTTCCATAGCCTCTTGGAATTCAAAAAGGTTGACATAATCATAATGTTATGATATCAGTTTGAACGTAAAGTTCTGATTGGATTGCCTTTTTCTTTACAGTAATGCAATAGTTTGTCAAAAAAAAAAAAAAAACAGGAAACATTCATGGGCTAAAATGGCATCACCACACTAAAGTGGTCCCATTGAGTGGTCCATATTACCAGTATCAGAGACTCTCTGAACAAGAACGCCGGATTTACACACGTTAAACATTTGTGAACTCTATAATGTAGAATCTATTTAATTATTACATATGTACATTTTGTATATATGTATTTCATTTATACTTACGTGTATGTATTTTTTTGTAAAATGTTATATGCGGTTCTTAAAATAAGTGAATAAAAAGATGAGCTCTTGAAACGGCATATCCCAGTACTGTAGGCGGCGGTATGAGCCTGAACAATTTGATCGCTATCCACCATTAAATGCAGAAAAAGAAAGAGAGTTTCTCGTTCCACTGAGATCAACAATAACAACAACAATAATAATATTAACAACATTAACATGAACACGCCGGAGAGACGAGTCGCGGAGCTGGTGAAGCTGTACCCGCACCTGTACGATCACTCGCTGAGAGATTTTAAAGTTCCGGAAAAAGTGTTCAATTCCTGGAAAGAAATCGCTACGAAACTTGGCATCGACAACCCGGAGACCTGCAAATCCACATGGAGAAACATCAGAGACAAGTTTTCTAAAGCTATGAAACGAATGCTGAGAAAAGGCGGAGATGAAGATGCCAGGGTCCCCAGGCTGTTTGTGGAGCTGAAATGGCTCAGACCTTTCGTCCGGCTCCGAGCAAACACAGTGTCCGACACACCATGTTTTGAGTTTGAGGTGAAGTATCTGAGTGTGTGTGAAGGATTCAGACTTTCTCCTTTATAATGTGATTTCAGAAAAGTATTATTTGCCAATTCTAAATGGGGAAATCATAGCAGCCAGTGGCTATCAAAGTACAAACATTTACAGTCAATTAAACAGTGCTGTTGAACTCAAACTTACAAAAGTAACGTGGTAAACAATATAGGGACTGTTAAAGATGAACAAACGTCCGAATATAAAGCCAACTTTACCTCAGTAATGAACAGGTAAACTGTGATATTCAGTTAGTTACTAGTTACTTACTTTGTAACTTACAATTACACTGTTATAAAAATAAATAGGATTATTTTTGGTGCTGAAATGGTTAGGAACTTTTGTACAGTTCAGACAGAAATGTCCAACGGAACATAACTTACCATGTTTTTGAGGTAAAAATGGTTTTAGAGTCACACATTCAAACTTTCGCCTTTATTATATGATTTCGGCTAAATATTATTTGCAGATTCTAAATAGGGAAGTCTATTAAATAGTGCTAATGTTGTTTTGAAGTGATACTTGAATGTGATTTCAGACCAAATACTCAAATTAGTGGTAAACAATATAGAGACCGAGTTGTCACTGTTTAAAAAATACTAATGCGGGAATATAAAACCAACTGTATCTCAGTAATTGTTTTGAACAGATAAACTCTATGGTATTCAGTCAGTTTTACGCTTGAATATATGCTATATAGGCTTGTAGTTTGAAAATTGTTGTATGGATATTGTCAGCAGATTAATTGTTTGTAACTAAACTAGTTTCTATACACTCACTGGCCACTTTATTAGGTACACCTTACCAGGTTTGGAGCCCCACCACCAGCCTGAACTGTTGATACAAGGCAGGATGGAACGGTTGTAGCGAGTGCTTATTTGAGTTACTGTTGTCTTTCTATCAGCTGGAACCAGTCTGGCCATTTTCCTCTGATCTCTGGCATCAACAAGGCATTTGCATCCACAAAACTGCCGCTCCCTGTATATTTCCTCTTTTTCAGATCATTCTCTGTAAACCCTAGAGATGGTTGTGCATGAAAATCCCAGTAGATCAACAGTTTCTGAAATACTCAGACCAGCCTGTCTGGCATCAACAACCATGCCACATTCAAAGTCACTTAAATCCCCTTTCTTCCTCATTCTGATGCTCGGTTTGAACTGCAGCAGATCGTCTTGACCATGTCTACATGCCTAAATGCATTGAGTTGCTGCCATGTGATTGGCTGATTAGAAATTTGCGTTAACGAGCAGTTGGACAGGTGTACCTAATAAAGTGGCCGGTGAATGTATATACTAGTTTATAGATTATAGTTTGTAGCCAGTGTCAGGCACATAACTTAGTAAAAGTAATTAGTTACAGTCACTAGTTACTTTAAAAAACAATGTATGTTGAATAAAATAGTCACTAAGTACTTTGTTATTATAAAACATTCTGCACTATTTTATACTACACCAGTGTTGCTGTGGGACAATTTGAAAGACATCTACCAAATTTAATATTATATTTTAAATATATGTTCTATGGTGGAACATTATACATGCATAACTTGTAATATTTACCACAGATGGCCAACAAGTAAGTCTTTAAATAAATGATGATGCTTAAGAAATGTAACAAAAATAAGAGTATAAATATTACAGTATTATTTTTACAGTATTATTTTAATATTTGTATGAAATTTAAAAATAAAAATGACATCTTAAAACTATAAGTGGGCATAGATTATTATTTTTTTATCTAGATTAATCTCACTGTAATCTTGGAATTAATCTAGATTAAAATGGCTCATTTGAATTCTTTACTTCACGTAAACACCTTAATTATATTATTGTCTATTAAGGCAAATAACTAGAGTACAGATGTCCATGTAAGCGTAGTCAGTATAGTCTTCGATATAAGTAAAAGATCCAGAAGGGCATCCTGCTGATTTGATTCAGAAGGGAGCTTTTTTTTTGTCTGACGACTCACCTGTCAGGTATACATCCGTGCTAATATATCAAGATGAATCATCATAGCTTGCATAGAATAGACCCAGCTCCCAACCCAATTTTGAGAATAGATTAACGCAATATTTTTTTATATCGCCCGACAGGGCTGGACTGGGGCAAAAAATCGGCCCTGGCATTTTGGGCCAGAGCGGCCCACTAAATTCAATCAAAATGCTATCTATCTATGCACGTCCAATATTTTTATCAACTCAAATTCTATAAAACTCAAAAGCCATATATATGAAATAAATAAATAAATACAAACTTTAATCTCAATTTAATTTCTGTATACTGTCCATAAAGTTATTTGTTGAGTTCTAAAAAATACACTATTCATTAATTTATTTTTCTTCGCATAAGTCCCTTATTTATCAGGGGTTGCCGCAGTGGAATGAACTGCCAACTATGCCAGCATGTTTTATGCAGCAGATGCCTTTCCAGCCACAACCCAATATTGGAAATCACCCATACACACTCATTCACACACTCATACACTACAGCCAATTTAACTCATTCAATACACTATTCACTCAGCCTATATTCAATAATAAACATAACAAAAACTGCCTGCTAATGCATGGGTAAATCTTCAAAGGGAACAGTGTACTTTATTACCTCATTCACCTCATCCTGCTTGCTGTTTCACTATCTAAACAATGAAAACATAATATAAGTCAAATTTGTTTCATTTTGATATTATGATTAACAGACACTAAACAGCCTCGTGTTGCATATTTATATGAGCATCATCTTCACTGCATATTTATAACAAAACAGGGCTTAAATATAACTGTATTCTTTCATTTCCATTGAAAAGAATTAACTTTACCCCGTCTCTTTTGTAGAATATCAGTTTTAATAATCAATAATGGCCATTATAACAGTATAACGTACATTAAATTTAAACGATAAAGGTAAGCAATCTGTCAATGTGGAGAATCAATGTATGTTACATAAATTAATATATTAGCTTATCTTTGCACTCAGCCAAAACAGTTAACTGAGAACAAGTGATTCAAAAGACAGAAGAATTGTTAGATAGAGACAACAAGATGAATATCACGTTTAACAACTATAGTGAGATGAGATCGTCCAGCAGATGAACTGACATGCACTATACTCTCACCTGGGGTTTATGCTCGCCCGCTGAACTACTGGCTGAAGGTCTTGGGAGAGAGTGTGTGGTCACGTGATTTGCACTATTAGCCGTGTACTAGAATGAACGGAGAACTTTTCAGAACCGCTAAATGAAACGCCGGTGTATTTCCCGCGATTTCTCTGCGTCTCCCTTGCGTTTCTTCTCTCTGACTCTCGACTATTTTGACAAATACACACAGACGAAGCACGCTCACACAGAGCCCAAAATAGGAGTTTGTGATTGGGCCAGCCCAATGTCAGTAAAGAAAAGAACCAATGGGCTGCAGAGTGTCACATGGGCCGGTCCGGTCTGTCTGTCCGGGAAAAAAGCATCTACTTTCAGAGAGTCACAGATCACAGGAGCGTCAATTAATGAGGCAGAAAAAAACGATAGGCTGCTAAGCCTTTTATGGGCCGATCAGATCATAAGACGATGATCAGCCCGGCCCAAAAAGTACGTCGGCCCACCGGGAAAGTGCCCGGTTTGCCAGATGGCCAGTCCGCCCCTGTCGCCCGATAAGAGTCTCACGTTAACACCGATAACGACCTTGAACTACTTCAAGTACTTCAAGAACTACCGATAACTACTTGAAACACAAATTTATTGTCAATAACGGAAACGACATTGTATTGGGTGAAGCAATTATTTATTTAATTAGTCGAGTCTTTACTGAATAATAAAAGTAATTCCATTAGTAACAGTGTTTATTTATAAAACTGTTCCAATCACTGTTATAGTACAGTTGAAAATGTCAAAATTATTAGCCCTCCTGTGAATTTTACTATACAGTATTTCCTATAATATTTTTTCTAATGGAGAATTTTTTTTATTTTGTCAAGAATAAAAACTGTTTTTAATTTGTTAAAGCCATTTTAGGGGCAATGTTATTAGCCCCTTTAAGCAATGTTTGTTTTGGATTGTCTACAACAGGGGTGCTCAACCCTGTTCCTGGAGATCTACCTTCCTGCAGATTTCAGTTGCTACCCATATCAAACACACCTGAACCAATTAATTAGGACCTGAACACCACTTGATAATTACAGGCAGGTGTGTTTGATATGGGTAGCAACTGAAATCTGCAGGAAGGTAGATCTCCAGGAACAGGGTTGAGCACCCGTGGTCTACAATAGCCCCTTTCACACATACAGACCTTTCCGGAAAATTACCGGCAATTTTCCGGAAAGGCTGTATGTGTGAACAGGTCCTTTTTGAAAATACCGGTAAATTCGTTCTGGCTATTTTCCGGAAAGAGAAGTTGTAAGATTACCGGCAATTTGCCGGAATGCTGCGCTGTGTGAATGCAGAAAGAAGATTCCCGTAATAAGCGCGTGCACGTCTAGAACGTGCTGACGTGAGACGTCTGCTTTAGCCAATCACAACAGTCAGACGCATTCACGTCCGCGCGGTTTGTGAGAATAAAAGCCTTTGAATATTTTTCCAGACACATTTAGCTGCTAGAAGTTAGTCAGATCACGTTTATATGTTCTTCTTAATGCCAACTGTGTAAATAATCATCGATGAGATGCTTATGATAAGCCGTTGTTTGTTTACCTTCAAGCTTTGCGTGTGCCCATGAACAGCCTGTGAGCGCCTGAACACGCACATATTATGAACATCTCGACATGCGAAAGTGATCCTGCGAAAGTTGTTCACAATATTGATCATCCACAGAGTTTGTAATTTAGTCAAATGTTTACAAACACAAGCGCAGCCGTTTAAAGCTCATTTGTGGTGAATGATGTCAGAATTTACCGGTATTTTGGAATGGATGTGTGAATGCTCTTTTCCGGAAAATTTCCGTAACGTCCTCGCCTGTGTGAACAGCGCTTTTTTGAATATACCGGTAAAGTCGTTCCGGAAATTTTCCAGATATTTACCGGTATCGCTGTGTGAAAGGGGCTAATGACTTGCCTAATAACCCCCTAAGTAACCTAGTTAAGCCTTTAAATGTCACTTTAAGCTGTATAGAAGTGTCTTGAACAATATCTAGTCAACTATTATTTACTGTCATCAAGACAAAGATTAGAGAAATCCAACCCAGGCTCATTCTGAAAACGTAGTCCCGTGGACGTTTCTGGAGACTGCAAATTATGTAGCCGGAGGTACGTATGCGTGCATTTAATTTTTTAAGTGAATGCTACGGGGTGGTATGACGCCGTTCCTTTAAGCGCTTACCGGCTGACCGCTTACCTCTGTGTGGAGGGCTTTTCCGCCACAACCAGTTTGTCCAGTTAGCTTGTCGACGTCAACAACCGGGTTTGAGTCCGGGGAAGAGCGATTACAGAAATCAGGTAAGACAAAAACAGATTCCAAAACATAAAGTGAACAAGTTCATAACGGTGAGAATGTGGTAAAATCCAAAAACGTGGTAAATATCAGACCAGGGCGTTTCTTTTACTAGATAGCTTTTGTAAATTGTTGGTTGGATTTAGGGAAGTAGGCGGGTGGGCGGATCAATCGGTAAAACCAATGACTGTAAAAAATATGGACGACGCGACAGCCCTTTTTCCCACTGAACGCCTTGAGGGCAAAACGCCTGCTTGACGGGCACAAACTGTCGCAAAAGACTGCTGAAATTGGAGCCAGACATGCGCAGAAGGATTGTCTGATGGAGCCAGAGGCGGAGCCGCGAAAATGAGCAGAGTCGAGCTTCCAATCAAACGCTTTATGTAAAATCAACTACGCCCCCCGAACTTCTCAGCATGCGTTTGCTGTCATATCAACACAAATGGATGTAATAACGTTAACAAATATGAGCGTTTTATATATTCAATCGCGCCAGCTCCAGGCCGCAGCGCATAACTTACTCGCGGCGTCGCGGGCTGATTCCGGCTCGCATGCGGCAGCGCCTGCTCGCTCGGCCGCCGCATCTGGCTCGATTGACTCGGGCTGGAATTGGGTAGTGAGTCCAGGCATCCGGAGTAGGTCCAGCAGAGGTAGTCAGTCTGAGCTCTAAGAGATAAGTCTCCGGCAGGCGAGAATCTAGCCGGAACTGTGTTTTGCTATCTGGGTGGCTAGGCGTGTATCAGCAAACTAATAAAGCCCGAAAAAAGCCCTGAACTTAGCGAATAAACAGTGTTCCACCAGATCATGTATGTCAGAAACTGTAGTTTACTGCTGAACTCATTTTGTCATGGTAAAATAACACAGAAATCGAGTAACAACACTTCAGTCTCCTGCCGAAGCTCAGACGCGCTGCTTTGAGAAACTGTCAATCACAGCTGTCAATCACGATGACACGCCCAGCATTAAATTACTGCTAAAAACAAACTGTTTACAAAAATGAAGATCTGCACCTATTTCAGCACAATAATCAGTGCCTTAATCGACCAGAACTATCTTTCGGGACAGTTTATTGCAAGTGTAATATTTTTTTTTATTTGGGCTCAAGTCTCCTTCATTAACACCGAGGAGGCGGGCTTTATGACTTGTACTGCAGCCAGCCCCCAGGGGGCGATCTAACGGCCGAAACCTTCACTCAAACGTAGGCTTGCGGCACACTTGGGTAAAACTGGTTGAGTTAAGGGAAGGAGGAGGAGAGTGGCTCGGCTGATTGGCCCAGTCAATCATTCAGCCAGTCAGACAGACAGTCGTTCGTCAGTGGCCTCTGGTGGGTTTACGCAAGAACAGTGCAGGCTCGAACGGCACTCGCGAGAGACATTTGAGATATGAAAAAGCGCAGACAGCGGCCTCTGCGAAAACAAAAACTGCAATAAATACATACCTCCCGGGACTTATTTTGCAGTCTCTAGAAACGTCCACAGGACTACGTTTTCAAGATGAGCCTGGGTTGAAGAAATCAGTAATTAGAAATTGTAATGTTTAGAAATGTGTTGAAAAAAATCCCTCTGTTAAACAGAAATAAAGAATAAAATAACTAATTGAATTATTCTTGACATTTTTATACTTGACTGTATATATTATCTTTATAAAACATGTTCATTATGTCTAGTGATGACCATTAAATAATATTCTTTTATGTATTATAGATTCAAAATGAGGAGACTCCAAAAAACATGGTGGCTGAAGAATCGTCATCATCATCTGGTTGCACAAATGAAAGTGATGTAGAGGGCCGGTGCTCAGCAGCTTCTCTGGATGCTTTTGGGACGTCAGCACTGCACAGGTTGAGCAGTACTCCATGCGAAGCTGTAACAAGTACAATTGCTCAGCCGTCGCCATCTTCAGCCCCGTCCAGCTGAAGGAAAAGGAGACGGGACAGTGCAGGTGATGGCATTGGACAGCAGGAGAAACACGAAACAGACAGTTTTGATCGCCACGCGCAGATCGTTGCTGATTTTATGCGCAAGCTGCCGCCAAGGCACTGTGCCATATTCAAAAAGAGATTACAGGACGTCATGTTTGAAATGGAGATGCAGCTGCTGGATGAGCAAGACAGAGGCACAATAGAGGCAGTTTATATCATGTAAGGGGTCTTGTGCAATGGCGTGTTGCAAATAAATGTTGCACTACACTGCTGAAGCTGCTGATTTTCAATAGGGCTACTCAAAGTTACAATGAATATAAAGAACATACAGTACAGAAACGCTTTCTATGAAGCTCATGCTTATAATGAATTATAACTCTGTTTATAATTATAAGCAGTCATAACAATACTATAAATGTATCTATAAAGATGTTATACTAGTGCTGGGCTGATAAACAATATTATATCGAATCGCAATAAAATTTATGTCAATAACAATGATAAGCTCTGGACTTTTTTTTACTCTACATTGATCTAAGAGCCAATCACACAGCAGAAATGTGCAACAATGAGAATCTAAAAATGTGTTGATATTACATTAAGTGTGTGGTATTTGGTGTACCACCAAAAATATGAATATGGCCGAAAATATGTTTTGCCATTTATTGGCTCCTCTAATTGTAATCCATTGTTGGGTTACTCTATTAAATCTGGAAGCATTAACATCTGATATCAAAATATATATCGTTATCGTTCAATATGAGAAAAAATTATCTGCCATTAAATTTTTGCCATTTCGCCCAGCCATGTGTTATACTGTATTATAATGACAGTTGTAGCTACATTTATAGTAGTGTTATTAATAATTATTATTGACGCATTTCATTTTAGACTACACATGTTTATGTTTACTGATGTATGTGTTAATTAGTCAGTCACTTTAATTAAAGGGGACCTATTATGCCCCTTTTTACAAGATCTAAAATAAGCCTCTGATGTCCCTAGAGTGTGTGAAGTTTTTGAAAAATGCTGGTAATATTTGTAGGCGCCATACATTGTATATTGGCGATTGGCCACAAGCTGTCAGTACGACACTATATAACTGTGGCTTCACTGCATGGAGTAAGACAGTGTTGGTAGGAAGCACACAGTTTTTGACCGTAACTGAGCGTAACTCAACTCAAGGTAACAGAGAAGTGTGCATATAGATTAAGGAAAGTGATTAAGTAATTATGTTGATTGGAAAATAAAGACTTTTTTATTTGCATCTATTTTGCATACGGACTCACTCTACCAACAATAGCGGCAATTGGAAAGCCGCTACTACAATATTAGTCTTTTTTTTTACCCCGTACTAATGGTTTTCAGCATTCTTCGAAGTATCTACTTTTGTGTTCAACACAAGAAACTCATAAAAGGTTTAAACCACATAAGTAAAAATAACATTTTTGGGAGAGCCAACACAATTATACTGTATTTAATAGTAATTGAATTAAATGGTGCACGTTTTTGAGGGAATTTCAAACATTGAGTGAATTTTCCTCAGTATAAATTACCATGTCATAAAATACCAGTTTACAGTTGTTGTTTTTTTGCTGAATGCAGTTACACACCAGAAACAGACAGATCGAGCTTTTTTTTCTCAGCAGTTTGGCAAATGTGCATGAATTACACCAGTTTAATGAAACGTTAGGGCATTGTTAATAGCAAAACAGTCTTGTTGCAATTACATCATCAAGATGCTGCTTGGTGAAGTTAAAAGAGCTGAACTGAATGATAATTTAGTACTGTGTTAAACAATCTAAACAGCCTTGTAGAAACTAAATACAGTTAAAGTCTGAATTAATAGCCCCCTTTGTATTTTTCCCCCAATTTCTGTTTAACAGAGAGATTTTTTTAGCAAATTTCTAAACCTAATAGTTTTAATAACTCATCTCAAATAACTGATGTATTTTCTCTTTGCCTTGATGACAGTAAATAATATTTTACTAGATATTTTTCAGGACACTTCTATACAGCTTAAAGTGACATTTTAAGGCTTAACTAGGTTAATAAGGTTAACTAGGCAGCTTAGGCTAATTAGGCAAGTTAATGTATAACGATGGTTTGATCTGTAGACAGTCTGAAATATATAGCCTAAAGGGGCTAATCATTTTGTGCTTAAAATAGTTTTCAAAAATGTAAAACTGCTTTTATTCTAGCCAAAATAAAACAAATAAGACTTTCTTCAAAAAACAGTATTATCAAACATACTGTGAAAATTTCCTTGCTCTGTAAACAGCATTTGGAAAATAAATAAAAAAGAAAAGAAAAATCAAAGGGGGGCTAATAATTCTGACTTCAACTGTATATTAATTAAAAGCCATATAAGAATCAGCTCTATTGCCTAAATGTGTCTGACTGAGTAACACAATTTATTGTGTGTTACTCAGTAACACTGTGGCACGGAGATGTGGAGATTGTTAACCATTTCCTGAGGAAATGATATTTTGCTTGCATGTTAATATGTTTGCTTGCATGGAAAGTTTTTTTTTCTTCATAAACCACCTCTAGCACTGTTGCCATGTTTAGACTGAAGTTGCCAAATCCCCAGTTCCAATGCTGATGAGAAGAAATTGCTGCTATAATACACTGTACAAAACACAAAAGGGATTGTCAATCACACACCGTTAACAATTATTATAAACTACACATTATTTAACTATAATATGAGCTGTATTTTACTGTAGGACAGTAATGCTGTATGTTACTGTATTTTAAAGTTGAATTATGAAAATTGCTATTTATTTGAAAGATGCAATACTGTAAATGCATATACAGCAAGATAATTGGCGCTGCAAATACAGTATTTTACAATAATTGATTTACAGTAAGTAACAAGTGGCGAACTGCTGCCAGTGAGTTACTGTAGATACTACAGGACATTGTTAACAATGTAAAGAGTATTTTTATTTACATTTCAAATGTATTTAATGTTTACATCACAAATGAATACAGAACAGTTACAAAATGCAATGATATGTTGAACTTTAACAATGGCTGCTTAGAGAATTCATACAGACATAATTTTGCAACTACATCCATGTGCACAGTATGATTGAACAGTTCTAGCAAACACACAAACATCCAGCTCACATAAAGTTGCTTTATTGCTTTACTTCTTGCACACACATACACAATTATTGTATATTTGATATGTACAATAGGTAAAACTACATTTCTGAAGTTTGTGAAGATAAACCAATCATCCTCCATATGCTATCAAGTGCTGATGATATTGAGGGATATTGAACAATGTCTGGCAACCTTTTATACATGTCTTCCTATCTTTTATACATCCTGTTACATATCAGAAGAACAAAGTGAAGGATTGAAACATCGAGTTCAAAACTTGCATTGTTCTTTCAACTTGACATGGAGGTATGTTTTCTTACTATTAGCATTCATTTTATCCAAAACAAGAATATAAAAATGTGAGAATGGTTCAAAGATGAGTGAAAGGGGCTCATTTAGGATGCTTTTGAAATATTTGCTATATCTATATTTATTCTACAAAGTTGTAAAATCTCATTATTTTGAGCAGATGAGAGTAACACAATCGATTAAGTTGAATTTGTTATTTTGTAGCCATGAATTTTGAAAATTCACCGAAATTGATTGAATGTCTGACCTTTGCTAATGCGTCCTATTTTTCCGGTTTTGTTTAGAACAGAGTAATAGTTATGGAGAATTTCTTTTTTTCTGCTTCAGTATATATATTGTATGCGTCAACTCATTTGAAAAAATATACACATAATATTTATAGTTTGTAATGAACACTTAAACCGGATTAAAATAAACTCTTTGCCAAGTACACTCTTAGAAAAAAAGGTACGCGGCGGTACAAATAATGTTCCTTGATGAACAGTTTTGTACCTTCGTAAAAGTTGTACCTTATATGGTATAGAAAAGACCGCTTATGATGCTGTTCTGTACCCTTTATGGTACAACTGAAATGAAGATACACAATTGTTCTCATGAAAAAAAAGGTGTTGGACAACTCCTTTATTACAATATCTATGAAAATAAACATTACTGGAAAGGCAAAGTGATTTTATGAATAATTTTCATATTAAAACACGGACGAATCATTTAAATGTATGTTTAAAGAAACTCATAAACATTCATCATTAGGTTCTATAATGCAAAACAACTGGTAAAACAAAACAATAGATATTGTAAACTAAACATTTAGGGCATTTTTAATAATCATTTGGTGAACATTTTCTGATAAATAAAGTTTCATTATTAATATCTGCACCTTTTGGTGTTTGCTTTCCACTACGCACATGAGCTGGCAAAAGTCCTGCATTTGCAAAGTGTTCATGCAGATATTTTACTATTGTAAAACTAATCAAACATAAATATCTTGTTACAATAGTTTTGCAGAATTCTATTTGTTTTAAAATTAAGGAAATTAAATAAACTTTTCAGTGATTACAATGGTATTGCATGCAAATTTGAGAAAAAAAATATTTTCTATTGTTCATGGGAGAATCTTTTTCTGTAACATTTTTGTATAAAATGTTGCGAAATGTTTAGAAAAAAAAATAGATCTTTTGATTGATGTTAAAGTATTTTTTATTCTTTATTGTAAATGGTAAAGGTGCTTTTACACAAAAATAAACTTTTTTTTTTACACAAAAATAAAATATTGTTTAAAATCTATTTAATGTTTTATATTTACTGAAAATAAATTAACCCATTTTGGATGAAGCAAAATGCCTTTTTTGACATTTGACATTGTTAAGGAACAAAGTGTCTTGTCACTGTAGTGTTATCTTCATGGATCAGATTTGTATCTTTGATGAAGGAACAATATTGTATCGGCAGGTTTTAAAAAACAAAGGTAAATTTTGGTTTCCCATGGTACAAGTCATGTCCTTAAAGGTACAAACTGCAATGGTACAAATTAGTTTCTTTGTCTTAAGGTACAATTCTGTTCCATAAAATGGTACTGCCCCAGTGACAAGGGTTTGTACCTTCTGTGGTACAACATTCTACCAGTTATTCTAAAAGTGTAGGAAATAACATGAATTATATTTTGACATTTAGTAAATAAAAAATTGATAATTATTATTATTCTGTTTGTCTGCATAGTGTACTTTATTTGTCCACTGTTTAAATTATCAAACAATTGAAACAAAATGTTCTGTATTTTTGAATTTCCTTCATTTATAAAATTTCAGGTGACACGCGCATGTTACAAAAACTCACATGTAATTTTATTCCTAGATTAGGTAAGTCTGACATTATTCATTTGATTATTATTATTATTATTATTATTATTATTATTGTTATTATCAGTATTACAAGTAAGAAATCTAAATTATGTCACAATAATACTTTCTTTATGCTCTTAATCAGAGTCTTTTCCAGTACCATTATGGCAACCTCAACATATTCTGAGGTAAGTAGCTGCAGAGTGGCCAGTATTTTTCATGGGCATCATTTTATCATTGCTGTAAAAATGTATATTTGTTGCATTAAGGTCCAGGGTCCAGTTGCATGAAAGCTCTTAAGCTAAGAAAACCCTATAAGGTTTGATGAACCCTTAAAACTTGGTCAACTTAAGGTAAACTTAAGGCTGCTCTTAGGTATTCCCCTTAGTTAGCTAAAACTGCTTTTCCACTATCATGCTGAATAGTTCTTTAAGCATAATTGTTCCATTCCGTGCCAAACCGGGCCAGACAGCTCTTATACGGTTTCATTTTCCACTGTCTTGCTGCGACAAAGCTCTTTGAAACATTCCAAACGGCATTAGTAGTTGCCTTGGTAACGCTTGTAAACGGCTCCCTTTGTTCAATTAAATTTAAATAATAGCTGAAACTAGTTTTTTCATGTTCATAAAAGCGAAAGCAACCATTTGAATGAGCTCTGTTATGCTGCTCTATCAAATAGGGGTGCTAAATATAGGTACATGTCACAGCACCTTATTTATTTACAGGTCATATGTTGCGCGGCTCTGGCTAAATTTTATTTGAAGGAAAATGACCAAAATGTAATGTGATGATTGAAAATGAATAAATATATTTAATAACATATAATAATATATTTAAAATCTCTGAGCATAACAGAAAATTAAACAATGATAATGCAACAAAAATAGTGCATTTGTATTATAGTAGCAGAAATGTATTTTTGGACAGGCCTTGTCAAAAGTGAGCAGGCACTTTCACTAATAAAAAAAGCACTTAAATTATTTTATTTTTTAACAATTAATTACATTACACAGCGGTTTTATGCCAAAAGTTGATAATGATATAAAATATACTACATTTTGATGGTAAAATATAACCCTTTAAGCAATGGCCGTTATTTATTTCAGTATTCAAACATTAAATAACAAATGCAGTAAGTAAAATAATAAACGAATATGAAACAACACATATATATCAGGATATAAAGCCTATATAGGACTATTATGTTTAGCAAAATGCTGCTCTTTCATCTTTGTATTTTTATCGTTTTATTTTTGTTATTTAAATTTTTTTTTTTGTCTTCATAATTAGACAAATTTGTCTTCATAACAAGCTGTAAGCAAATAGCAGGTGGTGCAGCTGTTATTAAATTAACAAGCCGTCTGGGCTTTGAATTAAAATGTGCAATTATTTCCTCGTTGTTAAAAGAGTCTGCAAGTTCGTGTTATAGTAATGTTGTAGTGGACATCAATGATGATAAGCGTGTCTTTATTCGATGCGCACCATGAAAAAAAGTCTTTCAGTAGCTGTGGTAAAGTTCTCTCCCGGATCAGAGCAATTTTAGCTATCAAATACAGCGCTGCATGCAAACTCAGTCAGGTGAATTAAAGGTCTCATTGCCTAGGATTTCAATCAAATTAATCAAACTCTAGCCATGAATAAAACAATAGGCTATTTTATTATTTCAAAGATTTTAGATGAAGGGTCAGTAGGCTAATTATATTATATATGGTTAATTGTATTCAAGTCAATGAAATACTAACTTTAGTAAATAAAATATCTTCGAAGAATGTGATGAGTTATTCACTTCTCTACCAGACACTGCTCTGTGGTTTTATAACCCTTTTAAAACTGTATCGTTTAGACCTGTAGCATTTTTTTTTATATATATATTAAATGTAGTGTTCTTTACTTTAACGGTTTGGCACGATAGTGGAAAAGTGGCTTAAGTGCTCCCTTAAAGGGATAGTTCACCCAAAAATGAAATGTCCTTGTTACAAACCAGGTTTGAGTTTTTATCCAATTGAACACAAAGTATCTTGGCAGTGTATTATTGTTGTGTTTATCATTGCTTGACATTGCAACCCGCCATTATCAAAGTAAAAATTATTCAAACAAACATCTAAAATATGAAAAGTGACATTGGTGTATTTAACAGATGCTCAGCTGGTCAATGTGAACACTACAGCACCACACTGGTACACACAGCTAAACTGAAGTTGACATTTGTTAATAATAACCACATGAAACAAACAAACATTCAGGGCTCTATTTTGATAATTCATGCGCAAAGTGCTAAGTGCAGGGCCCAAAAGCAATAAGGGCGTGTCAGAATCTATTTTTGCTATTTTATGAATGAAAAAATCTGCTTTGCGCCGTGGCGCATGGTCTTACAGGGTTGAGTTTATTTTCTTAATGAGATATAGGTGTGTTTTGAGAATAAACCAATCAGAGTCTCATCTCCTATTCCCTTTAAGAGTCAGTTGCATCGCACCATGGCACATTTGCTATTTACATGACAGACTTTGTAAGTGGAAAAACTGAACACTAGCGAGAAAACAGTTAAACAGAGCGTCTACCGCACGAGAATGAGAGATGAGCCTCCTCATTATTTACTTTCACTTTCACTCTCGTGGATAGGGAAACTTCTTGTACGCACAAACATCTATTAGCCTGTAAATAACTAATTTTGTTTAATTTTTTAAAAAGCGTAAAGATTTGTTTCAAAACTGTTTCTAAATTCAGTTCTAATTTCCACCAAACAAATAAATGAACAATAATAACAAAGTGTGCTCAAAAACCTGAGTTATATCCTAAAACACATGCTGTGCCCCATATGGTCTAAAACCTGACAGGTGGACAAATCTAAGCTTGTTTTTAATCAAACAAATATAAATATGGATATAATAAATAATACTGCTAATAATAATAACATTATACAAAAGCAAATTGTCATGAATAAACTAAAAAAGCCTCCCGAGATGAAGAAGGCATGAAAGTTTTTATATTTATGTAGGCTAGAAAATAATATGTTTTGTAATATTTTAATCCTTTATATTTATATCCTATACAGCAGTGGTTCCCAACCTGGGGTCCGCGCCCCCGCGCCAGAGTTCACAAGGGGGGCGCGGGAGAGGATAAGTGTTGAGGTAGAAAAAGGCATAAAAATGCTCCACTATTATATAGGGCTTTGCAATTAATCAAAAATCCGATTTCGATTTCGGCTTCAAACGATTATAAAATAGCATTAATCGAGATAAATGATTATTGCATCATATACCGCCACTTTCCAGTTGTACACGTGTTGTTGCTCTTAAAAGCGCGAAAGAGCGCGTGCTTATATGTGTGCGCAGAACGCACACGCAGTCAGAAGCATGCGGCTGGTCAGCATTCGCTCTCATTCACACACTGAGAGGAGCAGAGGAGCGCAGACATCTAAAGTCATCTTAACGTGAGCGCTTTAATGGTCAAATAGGTGTCAAAACGCGGTGTTAAGTGATTATTTATATTAACCCTCATTTGTGTAATAAACAAACGAGTTGAGGATCAAAAGACGTGAAAGAGAAACTATTAAAGAGACAGTGCGCTATAATCCTTCTGCCGCCTGTTTTTATCATTATTAAACAAACACAACGAGAAAACCCTCGCTGCTCTTGACTGAAGGACTGCTGTAGCTAAAGTGTTTTTCTTACAGTGAAGATGCTTAAAGCACAGTTTGTTTCATATTTTTATTTTATTGTATTTATTTCTCTTTCCTTTGCAGGGTGGAAAATAACTGTATTTATACACTTGAAGTCAGATTAGCCCTCCTGAATATTAGCAACCTTTTTCCTCCCCAATTTCTGTTTCATGGAAAGAATATTTTATTAACTTATTTCTGAACATGATAGTTTTGATATCTCATTTCTAATTACTGATTTCTTTTATCTTTGCTATAATGACGGCACATAATATTTTACTAGATATTTTTCAAAATACAAGCATTCAGATTAAAGTGCAGTTCAAAGGCTTAATTAGAGTAATAAGGCAAGTCATTATAACGGTAGTTTATTCTGCAGACAATCAAAAATATATATTGCTTAAGAGGGCTAATAATATTGACTTTAAATTGGTTTCAAAATATTTAAACCTGCTTTTATTCTAGCTAAAATAAAACAAATAGAAGAAAAAATATTATAGGAAATATTGTTAAAATTCCTTGCTCTGTTAAACATAATTTGGGAAATATTTATAAAAAATAAATCTCAGGAGCGCTAATAATTTTGACTTTAACTGATAATGGTTTTGAATAATCGTGATTACAATTATGACCAAAATAATCGTGATTATGATTTTTCCCAAAATCGGACAGCCCTACTATTATATATGTATTTTTAAGTACCAAAAGAAATCTATAAACACATGCTTAAAATTCCAACATAATAGTAAAAATAATTAAAATAAATAACTTTAAATAATTATTTAAATTTTGCTCACTCGCGCAACTTGCTTGTCAACGCGTCGTAAAGGCAAAATCAAAACAAAAATGGCAGAGAAACGTAAATGCAGGGATTCTTCAGAGGCGAAGAAAAATATTAGACAGTATGACAAAGCCTACCTAAATTTTGGTTTTATTGAAGGCCAAGACAAGTTAAAATTGATTAATTTATATTTTCTATACATATTATTAAATATTTATATTATACAAACACACACACACACACACACACATATATATATATATATATATATATATATATATATATATATATATATATATATACTTACATATATACATACATATATATATATATACACAGTACATATGTGTGTGTGCACGTGCGTGCGTGTGTATTTATATGGTGGGGGGCTCCAATGTTTGTATATGTTCATGTGGGGGGGCCCCAGAGAAAAAGGTTGGGAACCACTGCTATACAGTATATATCCTTATTATATCCTATATATATCCTTAATATTTTTATTCTTTTTCATATGTAAAGATATTTGTGTATTGCTGTACATCCTGTCTGTATTAAGCAATGTTTAAATGAGGAGCACAACTAACGCGCTCTGCGCTGGACTTTAGACCGGCTTTGTTCTGGTCTATTGAACAGACTATTGTAGTTTCTCCATAAAGTTAACCTCCACTCCACAGCTGCCCTGTCCTGACTTCTTCATGCATCTCAAAGGACCGAGCTGTCCCGGGACAAGCTTGCTAATATACAGAATTGGACTCTAGGCCATCTGGGCATTCAAAGCATTTGCAGACCTGGACAGATTCGTCCAGCCCAGCACCTCCTTGTGCTGCAAAAGGGAGGAATTCTCCCTATGAGCTATCAACCAAGGCTGAACCTGGACGGGGGCGTCCCGCGAGTCACTTTTAACACACAAGGCAGGGATAATTTGTCCCAATCGGAACGTAGCCAAGGCAGAACCTGGACGCAGCAGGCATCCAGCTTTGAACTAAGAAGACAGGGCTCATTTGTCCCTACTGAATCTACTTTTACCACACAGATAATAAATAAAAGGAATAATGAAGACACTGAACACCATTTGACCGTTAAGTTGTACAATATTTATTCAGGACGATTCAGAGTCTTCTGTTGGTTCGAGTGGGCGAGCGCCCTGGCTTTTCCCCCTGGCAGGGCGCCATGGCAGCGTCCTCCTGCTGGTTCCCTCCTGGAAAAGAGACACATAAAGGGCAGTTAGCCAATGCCACGCGTTCTGCTATCCATGCCAAAGAGAATCTGATTTTATCAGGGGAGACACGGAATCTCTGTCCTCTTGCGCCCTTTCCGCGGGGGGCTTTCAGTGCCCGCTGCCTCCCCATCCTCCTCCTCCTCCTCCACCAGGGCCCTTTCAAACAGTCTGCGGCGCTCGCATGCTTGGAGAGGTCCTAGGTGAAGTGCGTAGAACTTATCTGAGGTTGAAGTGTCATGGCACATGAATTGCGCCACCTTGCGGCGATCCTCTGAAGAGTGTGCATTCTTTGCCTGCGTCGGAGAGAGACAGAAGCTTGATTAGGACCGAAGCCGCCGCTGGTAGTTACAGGGGCGTCACATGCATACTCACATGGGTCGCGATCGCAGTCCGTACGTCAGTAAAGGTGGGTTTGCCTGGAAGGCCCATACTGATCCAAGCAGACTGAAAGTACTTGTACAGGGTCCGACAAGGACTGGCTCTGGAAGTGAAAAAGAAATAGGTAGCCTGGCTCCCTCCAGGGAGACCAGCCCGCAGCGCCAAGAACCTGCGGAACCAGCTGTATTCCTCCCTGTTTAGGGACAACTGCGCCGCCCCAAAGGCTCTGTTTGTCTTGTGCGTGGTAATCTGCCATCAGAGAACAAGCAGTGAGTGAGAGCATGCTACTGGTGACCCCCACCTTACTTGCGCCATACTCACGTTAATGACATAAGCAGACTCGTCGGGGCTTCTGGAGGCCTCTTCAACCTCCTGGATTGTGAGATTCTGGAAGACTCCACAGCGGTGCCCAGAGATGGAGGTTACGTAACGAGTCAGAAAGCCATAAAAGCGCCACTGTTGCCAAGTGCTTGGGTTGGACTCGAGGCTATCTGATGAAGGACATTAGACAAATTAGACCACCGACAGTTCTATTTCCTCTCTGGGTCACCAACAGCTCTTGGCTGCTGGTGACTTATTCTCCGGGGCGCTAGCAGCTCAACCAAGAGCTGCTAGTGGCCCGGAAAGGAAATGTTCGTTTCTTCTCCAGGGGCACCAGCAGTTCTTGGTTCACCCAGTCACGTCTATCTGCCCCTCTCCCCCGTGAATGGGACTCATTCGGGGGGAAGGGGGGCAGACAGACGTGGGTGGATGAACCAATAACTGCTGGTGACCCAGAGAGGAAATTAAACCTAGGCCATCAGCAGCCGTTGGTTCACCCAGCCACGTCTGTCTGCCCCCCTTCCCCCCGAATGAGTCCCATTCGCGGGGGAGAGGGGCAGACAGACGTGGGTGAACCAAGGGCTGTTGGTGCCCCGGAAGAACGAACAGGGGGAATCGTTGAAACGGCGGAAGGCTGGCTTACCAAGCAGGGCGGGAATTTTTCTCCCAGCGGTCTGGTGACAGCGCACTAGGCTGGCCTTGGGGATCAGTCTACTTTTCTTCGCCTGCTTGGTTCGAACCTCGTGCACAACAACACGCCGGCATATGCCGTGAATGAGGGCTCTGACCTCCCTTCGAATCAGAACCAGAGCCGTGCTGGAGAGGCGACAGGCGGCCGGCGGGGTTTCCGATAGGTAGTCCAGGAACTGGGCCACGTTCTTCAGATAGTGCTGCCTCGTGGGCAATGACGTGCCTGAAATATACTCAGCTCAGCGCGGGGACGTGGTCCGGGAATGGGAAGGCATGGGGGTCCAAAGCTTCCGGAGGCTCGCCCGGGAGCCGGTGGTGTAGGAGGCGACCTGGTTCTCCTCCCCCGCTTCCTCCTTCTTTTCCCCCCTTCTCCCCTCCTTAACTCCCGGTAGAGGCGTGTGATCTGAAGCAGGGTAGACCGCATCTTGGTAACCTGCTTCCCCAGGTCCGTGAGCTGAGCCTGTATGTGCTCTGTGGCGCGCCTGCAGCCGCGGTCAGCGCACGGGCGGCAGGCCTCCGGGCCCTCCAAGTCCCGCTCCTCCTTGGAGGACGAGGCTAGCCGGGACACGACGGGGATTGCCGGCTGGGTGGACTGCAGCGACTTCAACTCCCGAGCTACTTTCCAACGTTTCGCCCTCCCCATAGCCTCTTTCCGGCCCGAGGTCGAGAGCTCCACGTGCTGCCTCAAGTGCCTGTCTAGATGGGCTGGCGTCCTGCGACAGCCCGGGACCGGGCACGGCATCTTCCGCGTGTCCACGCGGCCGGCGGCCAGCGCGAGCAGCAGCCGGTTCTCATCCGAGTTGGTCACCTTGTGAACGGCCGTCAGGTGAGGAGCAAGTCGACTGTAGACGTTGAAGCATAGGGCACATTCACCCATGACTGTGCTAGAGTCAATGCAGAGGGGGAAAGGGACCCACACGCCACGTGCGGCGGTTGATTAGCGGACGGAGGCGGCGTCCACTTCTGCGTTATGACGTTGGTGGACCCGTATTTCTTAAAGGGGAAGGACACCCCCCCGCACCAGGGGGTGTAAGCCGATGCCCTACGGGGAGCCATTAGGTTCAAACTTTCTTTTGTTACGACTCTCAAGTAGGGGGGAGAGGGGTGTCCACCTCACTCCCTCCCCCCCTTTTCAAAGGAACCAGAGGGGGGGTGTCCCATTAAACAATGCACCCCCCCTTCATCGCTGCCCCGGCCAGCAGTTCGACAGCTCTCTCTCTTGTTACGACTCGAGTAGGGGAAGGGGTGTCCCACCTCACTCCCTCCCCCCTTCATTGCTGCTCTGGCCTGCAGGAGCTTTTCCACAGCCTTTCTCGTTCACTTTTTCCACCCCAAGCCGGGAGCCAGCAAGGATAAACTCAGGGGGTGGGCGGCGTTGCGGGCGGACGGACGGGATGCAAACGCACACACTCGGGTGGGGGGAGAATCGAAGCCTACACCAGCTCGTTCCCTACGCTGCCCCTGGGGGCTCAATTCACCACGCCGGGTGACTCGACCGAACCCACCGAGCATCCCCCAGCCCTCGCAGGGCGAGGGGCGTGGGGCGGGGGCACGGGCCGAGTATTGGCGCGGGGGAAACGGAGTCCAGGGGGGTGGGCTGGCGGGCTGAGCAGCAGACAAGCTCTGGGTCATAGCAAGACGGGCCATCTGGGTCCTTACCCACGGATCGAGGCGGGAAGAGGGGGCGCTGTGTGCGGAGGGACACCCCCACGCCTCCCTGATAGAATGCCCAGGACGGGGAGGATCTGCCACACCCATAGAGGCCGACCCCATTGGTGCTTTGGGGGGCCTGGGTGGGGGCCTAGCCCCTGGGGCGTCACACTTGCTCCTATCGATCAGTCACCGAGGGGTCTGGCGACTAGAATCTCAGAGACTAAGTCCGTAAAATGTCACCTTCCCCAAAACCCTGATGGCAGGTCAGAGATTGTTGGTGTCGGGCAAATACCTCCAGGCGCGGGACGTCCCGACAAGTAGGCCGGGAAGGGTGGTCTCCCGTCGGGCATGGTTTGGTGGGTCTAATCAACGCCCCGGTGAGCGCCAGGCCTAATGTTTTCCTGTTGGACCTTAGCGCTAGATGCGTAAAGATGTGCCGTTGGTGAACCATTGATGGAGCCACTGACATCCAGGGGCCCTGTGCCGTGCGCGCACTGCCCGAGGTACCCTCACTCTCCGGGGGCAAGCCCAGCTCCACTCCCTGGCCTGGAGCCACTGACATCCAGGGGCCCTGTGCCGTGCGCGCACTGGCCGAGGTACCCCCTACTCTCCGGGGGAAAGCCCAGCTCCACTCCCTGGCCTGGAGCCACTGACATCCAGGGGCCCTGTGCCGTGCGCGCACTGCCTGAGGTACCCCCACTCTCCGGGGGAAAGCCCAGCTTCACTCCCTGGCCTGGAGCCACTGACATCCAGGGGCCCTGTGCCGTGCGCGCACTGCCCGAGGTACCCCCACTCTCCGGGGGCAAGCCCAGCTCCACTCCCTGGCCTGGAGCCACTGACATCCAGGGGCCCTGTGCCGTGCGCGCACTGCCCGAGGTACCCCCACTCTCCGGGGGAAAGCCCAGCTCCACTCCCTGGCCTGGAGCCACTGACATCCAGGGGCCCTGTGCCGTGCGCGCACTGCCCGAGGTACCCTCACTCTCCGGGGGCAAGCCCAGCTCCACTCCCTGGCCTGGAGCCACTGACATCCAGGGGCCCTGTGCCGTGTTCGCACTGGCCGAGGTACCCCCTACTCTCCGGGGGAAAGCCCAGCTCCACTCCCTGGCCTGGAGCCACTGACATCCAGGGGCCCTGTGCCGTGCGCGCACTGGCCGAGGTACCCCCTACTCTCCGGGGGAAAGCCCAGCTCCACTCCCTGGCCTGGAGCCACTGACATCCAGGGGCCCTGTGCTGTGCGCGCACTGCCCGAGGTACCCCCACTCTCCGGGGGAAAGCCCAGCTTCACTCCCTGGCCTGGAGCCACTGACATCCAGGGGCCCTGTGCCGTGCGCGCACTGCCCGAGGTACCCCCACTCTCCGGGGGCAAGCCCAGCTCCACTCCCTGGCCTGGAGCCACTGACATCCAGGGGCCCTGTGCCGTGCGCGCACTGCCCGAGGTACCCCCACTCTCCGGGGGCAAGCCCAGCTCCACTCCCTGGCCTGGAGCCACTGACATCCAGGGGCCCTGTGCCGTGCGCGCACTGCCCGAGGTACCCCCACTCTCCGGGGGAAAGCCCAGCTCCACTCCCTGGCCTGGAGCCACTGACATCCAGGGGCCCTGTGCCGTGCGCGCACTGCCCGAGGTACCCCTACTCTCCGGGGGAAAGCCCAGCTCCACTCCCTGGCCTGGAGCCACTGACATCCAGGGGCCCTGTGCCGTGCGCGCACTGCCCGAGGTGCCCCCACTCTCCGGGGGCAAGCGCTGGTTCCAAAGGACCCTCCAGATTGGCACCTGATCACCAGCAGTGCCCGGGCACCCCACTATTAAGCCCGGGGACACTAACTCCTCCAAACCGCACGGACAAGACAGACGTGCTGCTGGTGACCCAACTGGCCAAGACGTACCGCTGGTGGCCCAATCGGTCTTGGGTTTCTGAACCCAACCGGCCTTTGGCTCGTGGATGGGGCACCAGCGGCACTTAGTTCTAGCCTCTGTGAGCAATGAAATCCCATGTTTGCAGCGGGGGGACGAACGCTGGGGCGCGGGTTGGCAGCTCAGCTGCGTCCCCCTGTCTCCCCAGGGCGCGCGCGCGCTGGCCTGCAGGGAGAAGGACGCTTTGGCGCGGGTTGACAGCTCAGCTGCGTCCCCCTGTCTCCCCGGGGCACGTGCTCTGGCCTGCGGGGAGACGAACGCTGGGGCGCGGGTTGACAGCTCAGCTGCGTTCCCCTATCTCTCCGGGGCGCACGCGCGGTGGCCTGCGGGAAGGAGGACGCTTTGGCGCGGGTTGATAGCTCAGCTGCATTCCCCTATCTCTCCGTGGCGCGCGCGGTGGCCTGCGGGGAGGAGGACACTTTGGCGCAGGTTGGCAGCTCAGCTGCGTTCCCCTATCTCTCCGGGGCGCGCGCGGTGGCCTGCGGGGAGGAGGACGCTTTGGCGCGGGTTGACAGCTCAGCCATGGACCCCTGACTCCCATGGTGTTCAGCCCACTGGCCTTGCCCGGGTTCGAACGCTTGTCTTGGGGCAACGGGCCCCTCTTTAGAGCCCTGGTTCGTTCAACCGCTAAATCAGAAATTGCACTAAGTGCCCTATTTATGTCTGTTACCGATTTCTCGACGGCAGGTCAGCGAAACCCAGGGTCTCGATAGCACCTCCAGGCGCGGGACACGCCGGGGGAGAGTGGTCTCTATGCGGGCATGGCTTGGTGGGCTCTCCCCTGGGTCTAACCAACGCCCCCGGTGAGCGCACTTAGGCCCCCGTTGATGCGTAAACGGTGCTGCTGGTGAACCATTGGCCTCCAAGGCTTCATGTCACACGCTCCCTGCCCAATACACCCTCACTTATCCCGGGCAAGCACTGATCGCCAAAGACCTCCCCTGGCTCTCTGACCCCTCGCCTACCGTTGGTGACCCAACCAGC